AATTGCGTTTAGGTTGAAGTTAATTTTCATCATTGATTGACAGTAAATGAAATACAGTTGAGAATTTAAGAATATTCGCCAGAGTTGTCCTTGTAGTGCCTCCACATTTATTTGCATTCGCTTGCTTTTAATTTGATTAAGCCCTTTTGTTTAATTTATTCGACCAAGCCATTTACGTTGCATCCATTTATATGTACCATTAGTTCTTATTATTGTCTGTTTGTATGACCTCACATGACGTGTCATTTGACCTTGTTAATCATTCGTTCGCATTGCGATCCAGGGAGGTGGCTCATTAGCCATTCTCCACATCGCTTCCTTCGCTTCATTCATTCTATGCACTGGCTTCTTTACATGGCTCCATACGATTCGCTTCATCCGCTCATTCTTCAAATCACATCGTTTCATTCGTCTAATTCGCTGCTTCGTTCATTCTTTCGCGCATTCGATCGCCAGTGTACACAAATGGTTATCCCGACGTCAAAAAACTGGCCACCACATCCTTACAACCAGACATACTCAAGACTTTACCAGTTTTCGTATCTAGGAGTAGAGTACTTCTGAATAGTTTACAATAATCTATGTTTCCAACCTCAGATGTAGAGGGTACTTACAATTTAGTCAGTCATTTGCAACATAGAACCTGAGATATAGGTGTTCTCAGAATTTCAAAACGGAATAATCAATCAAAAGTGCTAGTGTAGCATCAACGGTAGTGAAAATGACTTGCCATTGAAAATATAGTTTTAGACGAAAGATTTAACTGATAGAGTACAAAAGGCATAAATAATATAACAGTTTTGAAAGATAACAAGTGAATACGTCTGTCTGATCAACAGATCAATAGATGAAGTAATGAAACTTCATCAGTTGAGGTGGTAACGGACATGTGCTGCGTATGCCTAACCACTGACTGCCTCAACGAGCTTTGTTTCTTAGTGTAGGAGTCGATTGGAAGAAAGTTAGGGGCGGCCAGAACAAAACATGGCACAAATCCATAAAGTCATTGACAAGTGGACTGAGTCATATCGGTAATTGTCAGCTACCTGGTCGGGGTCCGCGAGATGATAAAAATCGATGGTTAGAGACATTGAATGACATGGCTCAAAATTGTTTGCAATGGCGCCGGTGCATTTATTCTTTGTGTTCTCTCAAATCCTAATCTTCTGGATTCTTCAGCCGCTCTAGTTTTGACTTTCTAAACTGTTCTCACCGAAACATACTCCTTGAATAATATCTTCTAATCTTAACCTCTCCGATTATTGCTAATACCTGTACTGCCTCTTCTACTATTGGATTTGAATTGACAGTTTCATCTCTGTGTGTCCTAATGTGGTTTTGGCAACATGAACTGATGTATCTACTTACAAAGTTCTGCGTTGCATCTAACTGACTGACTGAATACGTCTGAACTGTTATATACAGTGTAGGAGATTCTGCTTTATTTCATCTAAAATATCTAATCACCGACCATAATAATCGTCAAGACTTCAATCACATAATTATTACCACTACTCAGCATAGCTCAGACGAATAGATAAATGATAGTGATTACATTAACTAATCATGAAAAGTATTTTAATTTGCTTGACCTAATCTTTGTTTCCACCTTCCTTCCGGCATGAAACAAGTGTATCTACTAACTCTCTCTTCGGCTTTCACTGACTTTACAAATGAAATAACCTCATGAGAAAATAAGACTAGTTTCAATTTAAATTCTAAAATCTCAATATCAGTTGACAATAATCAATCAATGCCATTATCAATCATTTGTCTTAATAAATTAATCGATCAGCATTCAATCAGTATTGAATGCTGATTGAACAAATCGAATCTTTAAGCTAATTGTTGCCTAAGATGAGTGAGTGAACAGTAAAAATTCAATCAAGGGTTTATTCTAAGTTGTTCTCTTAAATATAAATTGACCCTAAAAATAATAAACTGAATGGATTACTTACTTGCTTACTTATTAAGCCTGTTAACCCCCCTCCCCGAATGGAGCATAGGTCGCTGACCAGCATTCCCCACCCTGCTTCGTCGTGGACCTTCTTTTCCAGTTCTATTCGATTGCTGTTCATTCTTTCCATGTCTGCCTCCAACTCCCAGGCATCATGAGTTCTTTGATCTTCCTCTTCTCCTATGTCATTAAGGATTCTAAGTTTAGACTTGTTTTGTGACATAGTTTAAGTGATTTCTGTAATGTATGCTCTATCCAATTCCAGGTCTTTTCCCTAATTTCTTCTGCTAACTTTCATTAAACTTTACTAAAATATGCACTTTCTTTATTCAATATGGCTCAAAATCGTTTGGAATGGCATAAATGCATTCCATCTCATATATATAATCATTTTACTTCAATAATGTACATACTTTTTAAGTCGTGTCTTTGATGCTTATTCATTAATACTATTAGTCCCGCTACTACTTTGGGATTCACTGTGACAGTTTCATCTGTTCGAATTAATGGGGTATCACAACTTGAACCGATGTACATACTGACCAGGTTCTACGATGCATTTGATTAATTGACAGTTTAATACATTCCATGTGTCGTCAATTCCTATTATGGGACAGTCCAGCAGTGTGCACCCACGACTGCAGCTCGAGAGGCTCGAACCTAGGACCCTGAGTCTCGTCTGCGGACGCTTAACTTCTAGACCACTGAGGTCCGAGACTGAGGGTCCTGGGTCTAGTCCCCACGAGAGGGGACTGCTGAAGTGTCCTATATTAGGAGGAAACAACCATCCACTACTTTCAGGTATCTAACGGTGATCTAACAATGAACGTTTCATGATTTCAGTGAAAACAACAATCTCTATAACACTGTAGTGAATATATGCACATGTTTTAAAAAAAATCCTGTTTTCGAAATGCTTATTAGTAGTTTGTAATTTCTTGTTGGTAATAAAATTCAAGATTACAAATGATCACTCTTTATTTCTGTATGTTAAGCCTAAATAGAATTCATTGATATTAATCACTATAGATGGAATTTTGCCCGAAATTAAATCCACAACGAACGTTTTGTCTGAATATAAAAACTTTTCATAACGATTATATAAAGACATTGCACACAAAATGTCAGTCAGTTACAACGTAGAACTTCGTACGTACGTACATCAATTCAGGTTGCCATAGCACATTAGCACAGAGACACACTGGTTGAAATCCTATAGTAATAGGCACACGAAATATACATTTACTCAAATACACTGGACAATTATAGACCAGAATTTCAACAAATGGAAATCACAAACCACTTTTACCTAAACTCCAAATAATAGTGTAGGAAGATTTCACCCATTTCATAGAAATTGAAAGAACTCATCATTATTGACAATTTCCATCTTTGGAATTAGCAGTACATTTGAATATGCTTCAGTGGTTGCAATGCTAATTGGATAAAACAAATCTCAGTGTTCACTGTTAATTTCAATCAGGAATGGTAACCTATAAACTAATTAGTGTACATTCATTCTCACTAATACCAGTGTAGTGAAGGGGAACACAGATGAGGGAAACCGGATTGTATTTAACGAAAATTATAGAGTTACTCAATAAAATAGGAAAACCATATCGTAACCGTTAATTTGCAAATCTTCAATCAATCATCAATCCATTGTCTGACATTTCACTGTTCATGAGTTTCATACAAATTCCATTGTGTTTCCACTCTTCCTTTCTTGATCTTGCCCCATCTTCTGCTGCTGCCAGACATTAAGTTTTCACTTGCGTCATATACTACTTATAAGTAGCGCGCACAACACAGATACTGATGTACACGTTTGCTATGAAGTAACTCAACCTGGTGCTCTAATGAGACGACTAAGTAGCGCGCACCACACCAGTATCTCACTAACTCAGTATGATACTTTTGTCTGTATCAGTCATCTTCAACATTCCTTCATTTCAACACAGCATTGGATTATACAAGAAGTATTATGAATCGCCTCAAAATTAAAAAGCCCGCAAACCTGGGAGATTGAATAATATTTTATTACCCCCTGAACAAGTTATATGCTCTCTCTATGTTCAATAGTTTAGTACTCATTTGTAATCTTTATTTTGTATACTTACATTCAATTTTGTTTAAATTTTTTCTTTTTATATTTTACAGAATATTACGTGAAATAGCAGAATTACAAGAATCGATTGATCAATTGGTTAGTCAACTGGCCGATACACAAAAAACACATCAACATCTACTGAACGTGAAAAGTCGTTTAGAAGTAGATTTAGCAATTAAAGTCAATAGTTTATATATTGATCGTGAAAAATGTTTAGGCCTGCGTAAAACATTCCCAATGAATCCTGCGTTAATAGCTCCAGCTTAATTAATTAATCAATTAATTAATTAATTAATTCATTGTATGCCAGATGAAAAAAAATCATTGAACAAATCATTTGTTCTCTTTTCTCTCTTTTCTCTTCTGTTCGCTCTATTTTTAACAAAAGAAAATTGAACATTCAACATAGTACTTACTACTAGTGAATATTTGATGATGTTGTTGTTATAATGATAAGCAACAATTTATTTTCCCTGTTCTTATTCTTGTTATTATTATCATTATGATCTATTTCGATTTCTTTCTTCTCCTTTTGTGATTAACAAAAAAATAATTCGAATAACGATGTGTATGATATATACTACTGTTTTTGTTATTAAATAATCTTAATAATAATATTAGTAGTATTACTACTAGTAGTAGTAGTAGTATTAGTAGTAGTATCGGAGAGCAGTTGTGTGCTGCACACATTTGATTTTGTGTAGACAACACATCATCAACTACTCATTCACCTCTTGGTGTGTATGTGCACTCTTCATTTTACACTGACTGCAATGCGTATACACTATATATCATCTGTCTATGTATGCATTGTGTGTTGTTTGTTGCTCAACGTGTGCTGCTGACCAACTGGTTGTTGTGTCAACAATCAATTGGTATGTAAATCAATGAATGCTCTCAATCTCTGTAAGCTCTAGGGAATTTTTGAAACGAGTATCAGTGATAGGCTGACAGTGTGAAGAACGCGCACTCAAAACAAACACACAGACTGTTATGTATTGATTACGATAAGTAGTTGGTTTGTCGTGTCTAGTTTTCTTTTTGTTCTGATAATTTGCTTTTTTCAAATCATGATTGTCCTTGTTCCTTTCCTAATTCTTCTTATTCCCCTCCTTTTTCAATCATGCATGACTTGATTTGTATTGATGATTATCAATCACCACTAATTACTGTTTTTATTGTTTTAGTGTGTGTTTTTTTTACATGTAATCGATCAAGTATTTGATAATTAATTCTGTGATGAATTCGTCATCATCACTATGATTGATAATCAACAGTGTTCTTCTTTTTTACTTGTGATTCTCAATGTCCAATCCATTGATTTGTTTATCAATCAATAAATCAGTACACCGGCACAACTGTGATAATTGTACAAAACCTCTTAAAATGAACATTCATCAGTGAATGATAATCATATTAATAATAATAATAGTAGTAAAACAACATTTTTACATACTATTTTTGATTGTGATTTTATTTCCAATACTAATGATTATGAATAAAGTTTATTTACAATAATAGCTGTAATGATAATCATGATAACGATCGATCGATTCTGTGTCACAACTTCGTGCTGTTGTGTGTTTCTAATCTTCCTTCTTTCGATCGACTGACAAGAATCAAATCTTTCGTAATTTTTTTTAATTTATGTTGATTACTTTATTATTAATTAGTAGTATTGGTATAATTTTATTAATTTTTTTTCTATAATCATGTGTTCATTAGCAGCAAGTATTTGATAGTAATTTATGAAACCTGAAAATTATGTAATAGTCAGTTTTTCTGAGACTTTTTTTTTTGTGTGTATTAATTGATTGATTTATGGCAGTGATTTCAAATTACTACAAATCAAGGGAAGAATTCATTGCGTAATATATTTTTGTTCATTTAGTGATTGATTGACTGATTGATTGATTGATTGATCGTGTACTGTAAATTAAAGTATGATTTTTTATTGATTGATCGATTGATTTGATTTCATACATTTTTTCGTTGTTATTGTTGAAATGATTGGTAATTATTGTCAGCCGATTATTATTTAATAAATCTAGCAGTAATTTTATTTTTTTAATTGAAATGAATTAAATTACACTTTTTTTGTTCAATTGATTTTTGATTTGTATTATGGTAGATTTTCACGAGGAAGCACTTGTATGTATGTATTGATGTATGTAGGTATTTATGTTGAGTCTTTGTGGAAAGACTCAACATAATGAATTATGATTGACGGTATATATAAGATGCAGAATGATAGATACAATGTTTCATGTCGTATATATATATTCACTAACTGCAGGAGTCAGTCACACTTGTAGCGTCACAATGCAATAATACTAGAGTAGTAGAGAGTGTAAGTAGATTAGTGATTCAGCATAAATTTTGAAATTTGAAAATATTATGAAATAATCTAGGAACATGTCAACCAGATAGTCTGCATAGTTCAGTCTAGCTCTGTCAATGATATCACCGTTTGGTTCCGTGTCATGATTTTTCCTCTCATGTGTGTTTCTTTCAATCTACTCGCATATTAGACACAGCTCGTTGAAGAAGGCGTTGGTTAGGTGTACATAACACATGTTCCAACCATTCAGTCGATGAACATTCTTGATCTCATCAACTGATATCTAATCTTGACCTACTACCCTCTGTCAAACTTGAGTATTGCTTATTCAGTAACCTCGACAAATGTAAGCAAATATTCAAAGGAATCTTATATGGCGACCAATATGTTTTTACAAAGATTACTCTTAAAGTGAGGAATCTTCTCCAAGTTCTAGTGGGAAGATGTGACCAGTGAAGTTCAACTTGTTTGGGTGTTGGCAGTGTCTACCGAAGACTGTGTATGAGGTTGAGTAACTCCGTGAATTTGATCAAGTTAGACATTAACAACACCGTTAGATGCCGGCACAGTGGTCCGGAGGTTAGGGTGTTCGCTCACAATACCGAAGGTCCTGGGGTCGAATCGTGCGGGGTGCAAGAGTCGTAGATGCGCACTGCTGATGAGTCCCATACGAGAACGAAACGTCCTTCTAGTGCTTCCAGGTTTCTAATGGTGTTCTAACGCTGATCGATTCATTGTTTCAAAAAAGATGTGTAACTTAACAATCTTCACAACCCCGTAATACTCTTAAATTGTCTACAACTGAATCAATCAATTTTTTATCAGTGGTCAGTGGCTAAATAAATTTAGTAGTCTGGGGTGCGCATTCCTGAGGAGTTTCATATATGGGCAAAACAGCAGCCGTCCAATGTCCCTTGATTCTTATTGATTTTAATTAATAAACCAAACACTGATTTAACTAATGCTCTAAGCTGTGCTGTTTTGATTATATTTGGTAATAGGCTAAAAATAGGATTCAAGACAGGTATTTTTCCTTATTTTTGGGATTCAACAAACAGATACATCTACATTCCAATGTTGACTGATGTTCATAGTAAGAAGACACAAACTCCTAGATTCCACTGCCATTCACATACTAAATATAAATGACGTGTGCAGTAACGCTATACCGAATCGACTGACTCAAAATAGAACGATAAACATAACAACAGTGACTATTCACTTCTGTTCTTCACAACTAAAAATGAATAATTACAAAGCTTACGTTAGTGAACCCATTCTTTCAGTGTTCAAGTCTATTTTAAGGTTACAATCGATCTAATCTACGATCCTTATTTCATCTTACTTTATTCATTACCTCCTAATATAAGAATAAGTATCTAAAATAAACAATTTCCTTCCAAATATAGTAATATTACTCATCAATACGAGTGTAAACATGAAAAAACCAGAATAAACAAACATTTAGTAAACTGTAGTAAAGTCAATAAACCTGAGAATTGAAAATCTTGAAACTCTATCAACAAATGAATTTGAAATTTAATTTAAACAAAGATCAATTCAGATGTTAAGATTGACTTAAGACCAGAAAAACTATGCCAAGTTTTAAATATTCATTAAAGGTTACTATAAACCGTATTCTGAATGTATGATAATAAGGCATTATTATTATTATGGTTTCCAAAGTTGCATCTCCGGAAAATTAACAGAAAATCATATTTATAGATATATATATTTATCGAATGATTCATTCTTTTAAGTGTTAGACAGCCTCTTTATGATATTAAAATCAAGTATCATTTACCGTATAGCAAAATAATACTTAGGTATTAAACGAAAATGATCAAATAATTTTTCTACCAACAACAATCAATTGTAGTACCAATGTTTATTTCATTGGCTAATTTATACTACTTTTTAGCTATTTGAGTAGTCAAAATTCATCTAAACAATTATCACCGTTCAGTTAAAGATTGAACCATTACCTCTCTGAGTAGCGATAGCAAGTTCATTATTGATTTGTTGGACAAAAGGTTAATGACTGGAGTGAAAGTGATATGAGAAATTGATTGTTCTCAAGTGTCTAACATGTAATTACATTTTAAAAAGAAGTAATTATATGGATCGGTAAAATGTTTATATTTTACGCTGATGCCTGTTAACTATGTAATGTTGTAAATATGCGTTCAAATATTATGTAATCAATTAATTGACGTTAAGTTTTATTCGATTCGGTTCATATTGATTTTAGCGCAAATAGACCATGTAAGAATTTTATATATTCATCAAGTCATTAGAATTTCCAGTGTCAAGTAAATAAGTCTTCGTGTTTTGATATTTGTTTAGCAATTCACGGTTTTCAGAAGCTAGTATCAATTCATCTGGTTCTTGATGAAACTGTATATTATACATAAAGTCTTGAAGAACAACGAAAATGATTTTAATAGTTCTTATGTGCTGTATCAGTCAATAAATAGGTAGATTTGTGGTGCGCGCTACTTATAAGTAGTATATGACCCCAGTGTAAACGTAATGTCTGGCAGCAGAAGATGGAGGAAGATCAAGAAAGGAAGAGTTAGAACACAATGGAATTTGTATGAAAGGCATGAGTAGTGAAATGTCAGACAATGGATTGATGATGGATTGAAGATTTGCAAATGAACGATTCACGATATGGTTTTCCTATTTTACTGAGTAACTCTGTAATTTGCGATAAATGCAATTCGGTTGCCCTCACCTGTGTTCTCCTTCACTACAGATTTTTACAAAAATATCACTTCTAAATGTTCTCCTTAAATATTAATTCATCATTTGAAAAAACATTCAAACTTCCATTGATTGATCATCTCCATTTTTAAATTAACGTATAAATGAAGGAAGTTTTATAAATTATATGCGATAATTGTGTTAGTAAAACTGTTACATGTACATTATCAGTTATATTCATATTTATGCAATTACTTACGTCTGTTACCCCTAATGGAACATAGGCCACCGACCAGTATTTTATAACTCACTATTTCCAGGGACTACTTTTTCAGTTCCAAGTACCACCGTGTCATATCCTCAGCAGCCTGAATTCCTCCCGGTCTCCGACAATGTACCAAAATGCCATGTACCTAATTTATTGGTTACCCTTGCTGTCAGAAGCAGCATCGAACTTGTGACTTCCTAAGAAACTCAGCTTTCATCACGATGCGTCATAATTCTAATAAATGAAGACCTTCCAACCCATATGGTAGAGTTTAAATGGTGTGAATTATTTTTCTGGTTGTCGTCTTTGTGGCAATTTGATTTTCTTCAAGATAGGGTCGCTAACCCCATACCCTCCTACTTTATTCGTGTTTGGGATTGGAAGTAGCCTCAGAAGGGCTCCGGGTGGAGTTACATTTATGTAATACTTATACGTATATTTAAACAGGTAAGAAACTCTCGATACAAATTATTATTCAATAAATTTTTCTTAATCTCCATTTATGTTACAAGAATAGGTATATAGTGATAACTATTTCATAGCTATCTACATAAGTTAGTTCAGGTATATTTTATTCCTTATTAACGTGAACCCATTCTAGTATATAATCATAGAACAAACTACTTATCCTGTTAAAAATCCCCAGTATGTAACTAACAACTATATCTGAAACATAGTGAAATGTATTCATGTCGTTGTACTATTTAGTCTAAATTCACTAGACTTGATTAGAATAACTTA